AGGTCCCTACCTCTCCTGGCACCAACAACTTAAAATAATAATAATAATAAAAAATTAGACACAAAAAGCCAAACAAATCTTCATGCCATCAAGACAACATGGGGTCCTTCACAATTAACACATTGGTTGGTCATCCAACACTTCTACACGATAGCTTTGTTTCCACTGCTCACATGCATGCCCCTCAACAGCTCCTTTCTTCTCCCTCACCTGGGGCGATAACAGCCACCTGTCCTTCTTCAGTGCCCACCTACCCTCACACTTTTGATATCCCTCAGTGTGTCATGACATCAAGGGTGAAGTAGGTGGGAGTTGGTCTTCACAGCCTCAACCAGGGTACTACAGTGGATGACAGTCTGTAGGGTAGGATGAAAAGCTTAGCAGCTCTTTTGAGAATGCAGCTCCCCACCCCACTTTGAGAAGCATCCATTATTCTGTCTGCACAGCATGGCCCCTGGAGTCCATCATGAAGGATTTTGACTCCAACAGCTGCTTGCATTCAATAACAGCCATGTGTGACCTACCAGCTCTGTTTTTATCACTCCCTATAGAAGGTAAAAGATCATGGTCAATAATTGTTTTCCCTTAAGAATCCCGCACACATCTTTGTCTGAGATTAGGGGCAATACATTGTTGTCCTCTATCCTTTTTTGTATGTGAGCACACTCAAACTTTCTCCTCTTTGTTGAAATTTCCATTTTTAGACATCAGCAAAACCCAAATAAAGCTGGTGCTGTCCACTAGTTTTTACGGGTGTCTTAATGACTGTTACCATCAGTTCTTCTACTGAGAAATTCACTGATAAACGCCATGCCTTGAAATACCATGCTGAAGCACATTTCACTGAATGGATTAAGAGGAAGTAGCTTTGGCCTACTAATTTACTGGACTTCAGCTTCCCAATGTTCCAGCCACCATGGCCAGGGGTAAGGAAGTTCATAGTCCAAAGCATTGGAAAATGTTTCCTGTAACTTGGAAAAGAGTGAAACTTAGGTCTAGTTCTCAGTCACTGAAGCTTTAAAGCTGTCATAATTGTATGAGGATTATGGTAGGTCTAAGAATTTCCATGGGCTGAGCATAGTCTCCACCCCAAACAAACAACACTCAATATATATAAAAAAATCTGGATTAAAAAACTTCTCCCCAACATTTGTGTTTCCTATGTGCCTAGATATTTATTGGGGTGGTGGTGATGGCTGTACACTGCATCCGACATGGGACCTGGAATGGAACGTGGCATGTTTCTAGCTAGGCTTCCTGCCAGTCATGTCCTCTTCCATGTTACTGCATCCCACAATTTCTTGTCTATTTTTCATTCATCCCTCTCCAAACATCCATCTATCCAGCTCTGTTCTCACTGAGCTATTTTTTTTGGTTGTATTTTTACAAAGCTCATGATACTCGTCTTCCATGGACTCATTTCGCACTCTTGACCAGATATGGCCTCCTTTTGTCTACATAAATACAGTATTTATATTCAGAGAGTGGGTTTGCTGTTAATATTTGCTTTGGATATGAGCCCCCAGCGTGCACACATGGGGTCTTGCATCCAATATAAAGTAACTCATTCTCTGAAGTGGCCAACAGAAAAGGCTCACCTCAATGGGAGGTGGGCCATAGCCTCACTAGTCATACTGCAACTTTACCATTGATTTCAATTTTAAGCCATTTTTGGGATCCGAATTGACAGAAAAGCAGGGATTTAACTTTATTTTTATTCTACACTATACAAAACTCCTTCAGCAAAAGGTAAAACATTAATATAACTAAAACCTGTTATATGCTATTAAATCACTTCCAACTGAATACCCTAATAATGCTTTTGAGATATATGAGGAGTGGCTTTACTGGTACCGCGTCTGAGTGAGTTTCTATGGCAAGCAAGGATTTGAACTCTGATCTCCTGAGTCCTAGTATGACACTGCCAATCATATCGCACTGGACCTTCATAATTATAATAACTGTATAGTTAAAATCTTCTTTTGCTAAAAACAGTATCCACTGATTCTCCCAAATTAAATAGTAATATAGATTGAGAGAATGTGGTTTAGGTATCTGGCTGCGGAGCCGGAGGTTGGGAGCTGGATTCCTCCCTGGGCCTCCTTGACAGAAGCTGGACTTAATGATCCACAGGGTCCCTTCCAATGATGGTGGTCGTGATTATGCCATTAGGCGGGCTTCATACAAGTTCTTGCACTTAATGAAAGAACTTTAAACTCCATTCAAACCGGAATCCATTCTGACAGAGCAGCTGTGCTAGGAAACACTACAACATAACCTCCAGACACATATCTTGCTCATTCTTAATTTTTTTTCCCTGCTGTGTTCCGGGCATGAGCTCTGAAGAGGTCCTGTCCTCAGCAGAGCAGCCGTATCTGCTTCTCAGCTGGAAAGAAGGCTCATTACGTTTCAGCATCAAGCCACTGCTGTCTCTTTCAATAAAAGGTGATAAGAGCCCAGCCTGGGGGATGGGGGAGATCTGGTGAATAAGTAAGGCCTGAGTGACATCACTTGTCAGGCCACTGCGAGGCCAGCCAATTGTCGAAGCTCCTTTGCTTAGAAACCCTCACGCCAGGAAATAAGAGAAAAATTCCATTTCCCACTCTCAGGTCTGCTACAATCACGTTGCCTTTAGTAACATGAGCAAACCATTGTTTGTGCTCGAGGGTCCGAGCAAATTGCAAGGGCACCTCTCTACAGAATCTCTTCCTTCGGGCAATTTGTTGAGCTAAAATAGAAATTTGCATTTCAGATGCCCCCCCCCCTTTGTCAATTCCATCAACTTGTACAAAATTAAAACCAGCATTTTCCATTCACCCTACCAGTTCTAATAAGGTAGGCCACAGCTTTTTAAAGCTTTCTGTCTTGGAAGCACACAGTAAGTGAAAAAGCCCCGAACTATCATCTCCACTAGTAATTCAGTCTTACCAATTTGCCTTTGATCCTCACCAATCAAGGCTGCAACATTTTTATCTTTAAAAACTTCTTTCACTATTTGAATACATGTTGTATTTAGCATTTATACATATTTTCTCCATTTATTCTTACAATGTGTAGCTCTTCTTTTTTAAAAAAATCACACTTCTTACATTTTGCTGCCAGCAGTTCCAGCTTTCAGTCTCTCTCTCTTTCTAGTTTCTCCAGCAGGCCCAGAGACTACGTTGTCTTGGAGGCATTTGGGTAGGGGGAAAAAAACATGGCAGCCATTACTGGTGGTAATCTTATTTAACCAAGAATGTCCTGGAATGATATAGTATCTGGACTACACTGAAAAATCAAATTGGCAGCCATGAGGAGCTGCTCACTTTCACCAGTTGCTGCAATTGAAGAAGTAAACCTTCCCTATGAACGAACAATGTGCCATCACAAACGAGATGAAGGGAATATACTCATGCGTCCCTTGTCTACGCATCTCTTTGGACATGACATGGTTCATTGTGGTTTCTTGGCAGTGGTACCCTGGCTGCTGCCACCAAGGGAAGTCTTTCTAGCACCAATACTGCCATCTTTCGGGTGCTAGTCAAAAATGTAATTACCCTGGCATTTTGACTTGTGCAAATTTCAATTTATTACTGGCACTTCATATTTTGCTTCCTATTGTAGTTTTGAGGTCTACATAGCCTGGAGCCAAACAGAATGAACAATAACATATGTTTTAATAATGTGCCATCCTATCCAGCATGAAATGAAGATAAAGACACAAATCACTGACCAAGGTTGGAAGCCCTGAACTGTTAGGCAAAGGAAATGCTGACGTCTTAACCCCGAGGGGGGAAGTCCATTGAAAGCAGCTCTTTGACTCAAAATTCTTGTGAGGACACAACTTTATCAGCTGAATCCAGATTATAAACTAATTCAAGTTTTTACTACACTAAATCTATATTCTGCATTCTACTTTTTAGGGGACTGTCTCATGAAATTTTGAACAGCCTTTTCTGGAAGAGTTAGAATGAAACAAGGAAACCTAGCACTCCAGATGTAATAAAATATATATTTCTAGAAGATAAAATACCAAGTCTCCTCGAGCTGGCAATAGCAGTATTTCCACTTGAGAATGTTCAGACCAGTTCTCAGACCTTGACCAATATTCCTGGATGAAATTTTAACTGTTCATTATAAATGATGGAATCAGTTTTAAATGCATAGAAACAACTGCAAAAGCATCAAGTCTTTATGCCTCCGAGTATTAACATACAAGGAAAAGACTCAGAAACTCCAGAGCTAAAAATATAAAAGTATATTATACATTAGTTTCCCTCTGTAAGCCTTTGATTTTCTTTAGTGCAACAGCCAAAGGATTTGCTAACATTTGGACTTAAAACTGATCACACTAATGTTCTACAAATATATGCAAGTTTTTGTATGCAGATTCAAAGTCATTTCAATTACACCAGGAATCAGAATGGTTCAATCTCTTAGGGTTGAATCTCAAATACCAAGCCAAATTAGGGCCACCTAAAGGCATGCATTGAGGGGAATGGCTCTTTTGCAGTTCTGGAGTGGATCAAGTATCCCAATGCATTCCAGAAACACTTGGAATTAAAGGGTAAAGAGTATATGTCAAAAAGAGCAGAGGGAAACTCAAACTAACGTGACACACATAAATGCTCCATGTTATGCGTGAATTAAGTTTTGGACAGAGAATCCTTTATTTGTCAACTGACATGCTGCCAATATTTCATATGTGAATCCTATTCGCAAACACCAAGTTATAGCCATTTGTGTCTTCCCATGGAAGTGAATGGGAGCTTCAGATTTCGTGCAGTTGGGATTCGAGGTACAGATTAGACCACAGACCCAAATCAGTTCCTAATTCAATGTACTGAACTGGCGTCCAAACTGTATCAAGTCCCCTGTACACAGCCCTTCTTAAAATTTAACTTTAATATTATTGGAAAGTATCTTCATAATGTGAATAAAACAAAACTATTAAGCACAAGATACCCCAATTGCAAAGATTTGAACTAGACTGTGTTAAAATAAAATAAATGGCAAACAAGTAGCAGAAATTTAGTCTTGTGACAGCTTTAATGGCACCAAATGTTTATAGCTACAACTTATACAAGTACTGTAAACTGTATATAATGTTACAAAGTGCTAACTAAATATGAAGAATGCATAATTACTTTGGCTCAGTTAACTACAATAATTTCAGCAAGGTATCCTTTTAAAAAATTGTGATCTTCAACAGTTTTTCAGTTTTCAAAACAGCAATTTTTAAAATTTTGTTAGTTGCAGTTCAGCCTGCTGCATTTTCTTCAAATGTGTGAGTTTATGCACTTCTGCTTGATTCTATATACAAATTTTTCAAGTCCTGTTTTTCATTGATCACTGAAAAACAAGGCTTGTATATCCACCCCAAACTGTAAACAGGTATAAAGCTATTTGACAAGGTTTATCTAAACAAAGCTTTATAGTTGATACCCCTTTTTTTAGATTTTAACAACTATTGGATCCATTTCATTGTAGAACAAAACAAAATCACACTATTTCAAGCTTCTATTTAGTGAAGATGTTAGTCACAAGCATGTAGATGTAGTAGTTTACCACACAACATTCTGTGGATTAATCATCATGAAATTTGGAAAAGAGATAAGCTTTATTTTTATTTTTAACAAACATGGTCCCAATTCCTCATACATTATTCCATATTCCAATTGTTTACAAAATCAGGTACAAGAATCTGTGTCGAAAGTATCAATGGATTTTTACACCCACACAGACTTGTTGTTTGAGGTTATTTAAAAGAAAAAAAAAACCCACTTTGTATTTTAATCACCTCAAAATGACCCCAGTATGCACACAGGGGAAAAATAAATATATAATTACAAGCAATACAAGTGCTATCATTCAAAACTGAAGGGGGGAGGGCCCAGAAGGTAGAAATCAGGGGGGAAATGCCTTTTAAGCCTCAGAGTCAAACACTGAAACCAATGTACATAAGGAATGGATTTCAAGCTTGTCTTCCCTGCTTCATACCATTCACCTGTTTTCACTGGCATGATCAATTTATACTTGCAGGACAAAGCCTTTGGTAACTTCCGAAACTCTGATGCAAACACAAAAACAGAGTACCTGTTATTACAGGCTTCCCCAGTCTTAATTTTTGTGCTTTTGCTATAAGTCTATTTCGATAGATTTCTGCTAGTTTTTAAAATTAATAATCGTTTCCTAAATATGTAGTATTAAAGTCTGTCATGTTATATATATACACATATCAGAGTATGTTATCCTTCAGAATTATTCTGTTTTCCAAAATCCAATACAAATCTACTCCACATGTGTTGAAAAGAGTTTGGAACAAAGCTTCGTATCTTGGAAAAAAATGATTCTGAAGGAGAACAAGGCTGAGTGTTCCCATTAGTAAGCCTACCTAGCTAAACCAAGGTATTACTAAGATCCTTAGCATTTCAGGTATTGCCAGAAGAGGTTCAGTAACAAACCATGGAAAATGAGATTAATGAAATTCAACCACAGAAGACAGTTCAGAGGTTCATATACTGTGTTTCACACAACTGCAAGGCTGTTTTCAGGTAGGAAATGTCACGTAGCTGCTGAAACAACAACCTCTTTGTAAATTCAATGTGGTTCTGTCTGTAGTAAGTAGAATGTCCTTTCACATGAAGTCAAAACAGGTCTAAAACACTTCAAGTCAAGCTACTTTTAAAAGGAAAACTTTCATTAAATAACGTGCTAGAGTACTAGAAGCTTCTTCACATGCAAATAATGCAACTGCTTTTCAAAACAATGTATAGATGGTCAACAAGTTTTTCTATCAGAAAGAAACTCACTACTTCATAGAAAAGACAAGGTAATGACAGTTACTCAGTATTAAAAGTATTTCGTTACTCATGAATCAAATTTTATCCTGCCTTGATTTTTATGCCGTTTTTACCTCCTGAAAACTAAGAAAAAGTTAGTCAAAAAAACTGAAATACATCTAGAATTTATTTACTTGTCCTAATTAAAGAACAATAATTGCCAATGACTCTTCGCTTGTTCTACAACCAGCTTCAGTTAGTTCTCAGTTTCTTTTAGACATAAGAGATTGCTATGGTCAACAGTTCAATTAAGCACTGCACATATTATATCTTGTAATAAAGAGGAGGCAACAGCATCACTGATACAATTATAATTTGCTGGTGGCATTTTGCACTGAAAGAAGCCCTTGCAACGTATAGGCAACTGTAAACTCTGTTAGGCAACTCCGATGTGTCTTGCAGGATGTGGAAGAAGGCTAGAGAAAGGGAGAAGAGTGAGACACCTCCACAGAGTTCCAATACTGAATTCCAAGAGTTGTTGGAACCTGGATATGTAAAAAACAAGGTGGAGGCTGGAAAGGGGGTCATGCATAAAATTGTCTCAAGTTCAAATGTACTAGTGTGACATTAACACCTTCACAGATCACAAGGATTTCCAGGAGTTGTGCAATGCTTCTTTCAGTAGGTGCTAGCTGAAGGTGCAGTCAGTCGTTTTCCAATATAGATGCTGAAAGGGAATGCAATGCAAAGAAAGTTGATATCTCAAAGCCTCTTTATTTCCAAGACTGTGGGACAGTAAGGCTCCAAGTCTAATAGCAATTAACATATTTGAATGAGTTGAGTAACAGATACTATTGCAGCCGTTTCAGGCCCTGCCTACCAGCCCATTTTGATTATGGGAGCCACAGTCTACAAACAGCTGGGAGGACTACAGGTGGCCATTCCTATATCAGGGTGCTATTTATATTGTCCCATTTTGTAGCACGGACGGGGGAAAAGAAGTCCTTATGTTCCATAGTAATGGGCAGATTGGGAATCACCAACTGAACCATGGGTGATTTTGAGCAGACTGGCAAAGATCTGATTGTTGTTGTACAACAACATCAAAAGAGGACAATTAAAAAAAATGTAGATAATGATTTCTCATCTGAGGCTACAGCTCTCCAGTTCCCAAGATTAAAGACATGCAAAGTCCTCGTTAGTACAATTCAAACCATACTTTTGATGAAAGCAATTATGACAATTTTATCAGAAAAAATGGGCACAGGTTGTTGGTTTAGCCAAAATCTGGAATCTCCCAACATCTCTTTTTAAGTCCTTCCAAGCAGTTATGGCGACAAAGACAAACAATTTGCTAAGTTGTCCATAAGAACCCACAATAGATATTTGGGCATCTAGGTGGCAAACAAGCAGGTCTCTCTCTCTCTTTGCCACTTCTACACCTCCCACCAAAACTGTAACAGGTTTTTACACCAAGAAAGTTATTTTCTATATCAAGAAAAAACTGCATTTCTTGGTACAGAATGGATGCCCATTTTTCAACAAAAGTCTTCAAGCAGTTCATTCAGCACTCAGCTGCTAAAGCACTGGCCGCTATTCAAATATTAGCTACAAACTGTAGAAGAACAAGTTCACAGAGACTGAAAGACACATAAGATGATTTGTGGTTATTGCTGCACAATAGAAAAGGAATCTCTTTTATAGTAATTATGGGAATGAGGTAACATAATTTATATGCAGTGTTTTTTTCAGTCTTTCTGGGTTTTATTCTCTAGGCTCCTATTCAGAAATCACACATCTTGTTAAATTATAACACTGTTAAATAACTTTGTCTTCACATTGCAAAGTTCCTTTCACTGTGACTTCAAGGACAATGAAATTTCCACCAGGTTATTTTCAGAAGCACAGCAAGTAATGCAGGAGTACAAATGTAGAACAACTCCTATACCCTGCCCCCAAAGTGTATCTGCTAATACTTACCCCAGTCCCAAAGCCAAAACATGAGATATGAACAGAGATGGAATGAATACTTTAAGAAACTCAGCTGAGAAAATGCCACCTTTCTTCATCGCTCCACTCTTCCTCATACTTAAAGACACTGCTCGTTTTGGATGTCTGAAATGAAATTCCCTAGAGAGAAAAACATAGATAATACCTGGTAAGCTCGAATTAATTCATATATTTAAAAAACAATACATCAGCAAGCAATCTCAGTATATATGAAACACTAGGAAAATCACTAACAGATTTAGAGAATGTAAGAGCAGTTATAAAGAGACAAGGTAGACCAGAGAGGACAATGCTGTGTTTTCATACATAGATTTTATCTGTCTTGCACAGTTAACAGACGTTTGCATTTAAAGATGTTGCTATAGTACAGACCAATATTCTGAGAACCATTAGTAACTGTTAAGTCTGACAGATAAGAAAAACTAAGGGCACTCTTTGCACAATGCCACATTAGAGAGGCAGAGTCAACTCTATATATTGGAGACTGACAAAGCCAGTTGTATGGCAATATTGTTTTTGATTCTTGGACACAATACAGGCTGCACAATGCCAAGAAACAAACCTGCTTTTATCCAGGTTGGGTTTGAACAAGCTCCAAGGGAAGATGCACATTTTTAATTCAGAAACTGCTGCTTCTGGAAGCTTCCAGGAATAGAAGTTTTTTCTCAGAATGGATGAAATCAGGGCTGGGCTTTGAGAGATATAGAAGCTGACCTCAAAATAACCCTTGTTGGCTACATGCAGCCATAAGCTAATAGATTCCCAATCCTACTGTAAATATTACTAAAATATTTAATTTAAAAAAATACCCGCCATGAACACCATCTTGTTTTGTCTAAAAATCCACAGAGATCAAAACACACAAGCTCACAGAAGTCAAGCAGAATTTGCCTTTCCTCTTTCATGATGTGGCTGTTGCTATTGTTCTGAAGCACACTGCTACACAGACGGGCAATTTCCTGCCAAACTTCACTTCTCCCTGGAATCCATGTGAAGCTTTAGACCAATCTCTGCTAAGAGCAGCTTGAAGTTTGGACACCAGGGGCCTGAGTGCCATGTAAGCTGGCAGACTGTATATGCCGAGGTGGGGGTGGAGAGAGGAGTGAACTGCCTTCCAGGTATGGCTTATCTGGAAGTGCCACACAGGGGTATAATTCTGTTTGAATCTTACCAGAACTACTTCACAATATGAATACTGTTTGCCAGGGTGCTCATGGAAGTGGAGTGCTGCAATTTATGTTTTTCAAACACAACTAAACTAATGAAGCACAACATTAGTTTTGTTTTCTCTGATGAGAAAACCAGTTCTAAGTCGATGGGCATGAACCGAACCATGAACCCAATAAAAAAAATGAACTGGGCTGGTTTGTGGTTCCAATTTTGCAAAGATGAAATGCTGAACTCTTTCCCCGCCTCAGTGCTTTGTTTTCCTTCAGCATAATGGGATGCCCACCCTGCCCCCTCCTACTGCCCCCATCACCTGCCTATCTTGTCTTGAAGCTACAGCCTCCTCCACCACTAACGTCATCCTGCGAGGCAACAGACCCAGGTCTGCTGCCTTTCATGATGGCAGTGGTGGCTTCAAGACATGGTAGGAAGGTGATGAGGCAGTTGGAGGGAAGGGGCAGCTGTCCCTGGTACAAACCTAAAAAAAAATTAACCCTGAGCCAATTCATTTTTTTGGTGATATGTGTTTCATGGCAGTTTGTGGGTAGCCACAAACCATCACAAACCCTTGTTTTTCCAGTTCATGTCCATCTCTTATTCTCAGCCTCTTTTTTTTTTAATAGTAATTCATTCCAATAACAATGCTTCATAATGCAGCAGCAATTCCTTCTGAATGAAGTTATGTTTATTAGCAAATACTGCAACTCACTTAGGAGGAATGTTTTCAGGTCTACTTGACCAGTCTGATACCCAGTCAGCACTTTTCTTCAAAATGTCCACCTCCTTCTCTCCTTCCAAAGCTTCCTCTTCAGACTGAAAATACAAGGGGACACATCTGGAACACATTCAATTCTTTATTGTATGTACTTCCAAATATTTAAAGGGAGAAAAACAAAAATGTGGGCTGTTCTTACACCATTATGTTGCTCACACAACGGTTCACATCAAGAAAATGCAGCCACTGCAAAGACTTACCTCATACCAGTGTTATCACTTTTTTAGAACAGTCGTTTGCTTACAGAGCTGAAGGCTACCCATATTTAAATACTTCTTTAAATAAAATATTGAAGGACTAAAGCTAGAGTTCAAATTCAATTCTAAAGCTAGAGTGTTCAAAATAAAATTTAATTACAAAATTAAAGAATCAGAAATCGCAAACAAAAGTGCATTTTAAACAGGGCTGAGGTTAATACGCATAGCTAAATTATCTAGATTTAAAATTATAGCAGATAATTCTTTAAACTGAAAAATCTCCAGCTTTTCACTCCTATTCCAGCAAATTTCACTTTGTAATAATCTGTGGATCCTTGGATTTGACCAAATCTTCTGTGGCATGAAAAACATGCTGACAGATGTGGAAAGATTCTGGTAAATCTTAGTAAAACTGCTCTAAGGACTGCAAGTTTGAAAAATGAAGAGCACACACCCCAACTTACACCCACAATTACCACTAAACTGCAAGGCAAATACAAAGGTCCTGGCTAGGAAAAAAAGTTTGGGGAAATGTCAAAAGAAGCACACAACATTATTGAGGAGTTGTGAAGACTCTGCACATCCTTTGACCTTACTAAAGCAGCAACCCAAATACTCAAGATCCAGCTCCAACATCAACAGGGTCATGTCTTTTTGAGTTAGAAAAGGCAGTTATAAAATAATAAAAATCAGAAACAATCACTTGGATTGGCACAACCAGAACAAGATCTACAATTCATTTGCTGGCACGTTTGTGATCGGATTAGAGGAAAGCTTCTGCTGAGTGTGAGAGATCCTCCATATGTTTTTGCATTCCAACTCCCATCATCCTCAGCCAGCATAGCAGCGAGTGACAAAAGGGTACTTGAGTTCAACAACAGACAGAGAGCTCCAGGTTCGCTACCTCTGTCTTAGTACAACATGCCTTTCATACAGTACTGCTGAAGACAACAAATTATACTACTGATTTGGTTAGTCATCCACTCTTCCTGCATCAGATGCTGCTGGCCTTACTCAGACTTATACCAGTTAGATTACTACGAGCAACACCCTGAAGATCCTGAAATCCTTGATAGCATTTAAATGTAGTGGCAATGACTACATATGTATGCACGATCAGATCGCTCATGAGAATGTAATTACTCATCATACTTTTGTTATCTTGCCACCCAAGATTCCCAAGATGGTAGTAACATTTGGAACTCAATGGTGAGAACAATTTAAAAAAATAGTTCAATGATTATCATTAAGATTTTGAAAGCAATACCTTCTCCACAGCTACATATGTAAAATATGTTATATAAAATAACATACTGTTATGCTACCACTGGAATTAAAATTAATCCAAGGAATTCAATATAAAAGCATTCAAAATGCTTAGCTATTCACAGACAATTGTTCTGTGAGGAATTAAGATACGCAAATACACAGCGTGAATGTATCATGTAGGATTACATTCCTACACAACTAAGAATTAAAACACTGTGTGGACATTCAGAGTTATTTTGCAAACTAGCACAGAAACTGACTGCACAGGAGAAGTGTCTTTTCACAGATGCAAACCCCAAAACATGTGTCAACATTTTTGACAGGTTAAAATTAATGAAAACTCACTGCTAAAAGACAGATTAGTATTGTGCTATATGAATCTAGATGAAATAAAACTGTGCAAATAGAAGGAAAAGTACCTGAGAACTATTGTCTTTACTTGTGTGCATTTCCACATCAAACATTATCTGTCCATCATCTTGAGGAGAAGGGCTAGAAGAAAGAAAATGTGATTCAATCACTCTTAGTATCATTACAGATCGAGATTACAGTGTGTTTTATTACATTACTAGAAACTAACAAACCACCATTCACATAATCTTTCTTTTGCTTTATCATCAGGGAAAACCCCAGATATACATATGTCCTAAACTGATAAACAGCAGAGCAAAAACAAGTGAAAGTCAACACTGCTAGGTAAAGAGTTCTGACTAATGCTTCTTCCTGTCTCTTTTTCCTAGGATTTTCTTCTTTCATAGGAAATTGGGCTTCTGCTATTGCTATCCCTACTTTCAGGGAAGAAAGGCACACCTACACCTAATCACCAGAACTTTGATTCAGCAGCCAGCCCTTTTCTCTGGTAGGTCTTCTCTTTGCTTAACACAAAACCAGCTGTCCTACACCACAGTGAAAAACACTCCTGTTTTAGAGAGAAAAATATTAAGACATTACTCTTAATCAGCCTGAAGATAGCTGTCAAATAATTTTAGCATAGTCTTTCGAGACTGAAAGATGTCTACAATTTTAGCATGAAGAACCTCAGTGTTGCATTTTAAAGGTTAGTTACCATCTACAGTCTCTTTAAAACACTTCTAGAGATCATGCAGATGAGTTCTGTTTCAACTCATCATCTTTTGTTATTTGGAAACAAAAGACTGTCCTTCCAGGTCAGAGTGATTAATAACAGAAATACCTTTTTGCTTTTCACTGCAGTGTTTAACTTACAGAGCTTCAAACACTATTTAAAACTACAAAGACAGTCATCTTCCAGACAAGTTATTCCATTATTCCTTCATACAAAAGAAAGATGGGAATCTGGAACCCAGATTTGGTGTTAGAAAGATCTCACTTCAGGACAGAAGGCTGAACTGGGTAGGTTTCCAGTTCTGTCATACTTCCCCAACTTTATAAAAAAATGCTGCTGGCAAAATGAGTTCTCTATCATGGTGTTATGTACATGGTGTTATGTACTTGTCATGTTCAGGCAGAACTGACTTACAAGGATCCTAATAGGTTTTCAACATAAAGGCGGTATTTAAGGAGTGGTATTACCAGTTCCACATACATCCCCATAAATTTCCATGGCAGAGCCATGGTTTACTGCCTGTTAATAATTTTAACAGGTTGTAGTAAAAGCATTCTTAAAGAGAAAAACACTAATTATCACCACCACCACCACCACCTCTGTACATGCTGTTTTCCAAAGAAAAATTATGACAGGCCCCTACATCAAGGGATTTATAAACTAAAAGACACTGAGAAAGGGGTCATGCACAACCTGATTTTTTACAATTTTTATTTGCAATGCTATCTCATAACTGTATGTAACTGTGTGTAATTTTTATAATACTTCAGAATTAAGACTCAGGCAAACCTCATCAAGGTTAAAGAAAGGCCTTTAGCAATCAATGCGACTGTATACTTACTGTTATCTGAACCGAACATCATTTATTTATATAGATTAACAGTAGCAAAAGCTCAATCACCCATATAAAAGGCTTAAATAAATCTCCATTCTCTTTATAATACCATTTGCTGGACTGAACTTGCTTTGCCCCTCATGCCTCCATTCCCCTATTCCTTGTATGTCATGGCTACACATTTAGACTACAAATAGCAGCTACACTGTTTATCTTTCTAAGCCCTTTTTGGTTAAAGGCTGGAATACAAAAGCACTTAATACATAAAGAGTAAATCTATTCCAAATAAATTGATGGAGCTTGTTACCTGTCACAGTGAGAACTACCCCTTGAACTGCTCTGGCCAGACTCATGCTGAGCATCTAGAAGTATCTTCTCCATATCTCCATTGTGGATGGAAGATGAAGAAGGAACATGTTCCAGGCCTCCATTTTTTGCATTGCCATTATCGTTCCCGTTACCATTCATCTGCAGCTCTACCCAGGAGCCTGTTGAATAGTCAGATGTTTAATCAGAAACGAGGGAACCAAAATTCTGCAAAGGTTTGCCATGCAGTTGCAGCCATTCTTATTATTTAAACTTCTATACTATCCCATTAGTGTGAACAACTCTCTGGGAGGTTCACAACACATCAAGTCATCATGACTATATTGGAAGTTCCCAGTGAGGGGGTGATGGAAAGTTTTTATTAGCAACAATCCCAAGTTTAGATAAATTCAAAGAAAACAACCAGACTGCAAAGAGTATGTCCCATTTATCCACAGAGCAATAGTCTGCATGTTTTCTTAAAAGTCAAAATACCTGCTATGACCCCACAACAGCTCAAGGAACTGGGCTACCTGCGTTTACCAGTAATGTTGGGAATGCACATTTACAAAAGATATAGCTGTAGCTTCTAGGAAGGGAGAGTATTGGAAAAAACAAAATCTCTGCTTACACTGCATCTATGCTTTCCATGAATAGGTTTGGAGATGTCTGAAGTACCTTATATTTTGTTCACCTGCAAAGCAATTCTACATACTTTTGCCAATGTTCTTTCTATGCTCAGATATGTTTTGTTGTAAAGTGCACATTTTGGAAAATCTGACAGTCTGCGAACACAGACAATTTTCCAGAGTTAAGGATTTAGGGAGACAAATATACACACCTCAGATTTTCCAGGTGTGTCCATAGCTATTTTAAGAGTAAAGGGAGAACAAAACATATCAGCTCTGCTTCTAAAGGGGTAGCCTAAGCATCTGTTCTACAACTAAAGACAACAACCACATTTCAAACTGCACGTGGTCTTCATTTTGCTGGCTAGTTGTGCCAAACGACATAGCAAGAAGAGACAGGTGATCCTTAGCTAAGTTGTTTTGAGATTCAGATGTTATTTAGATTTCTTTGAGTTTAAAGAGTTCTACTGTAGATCTGATGCTATAACGTATAGCCGTGTTTGTATCACAAACAGCATTCAAACAAAAGGTAAGACTGGATTTTAACTGATAAACAAAGTTGAGACTTCCAACTTGGAAAATCTGGATCTAAATTTCTTGGAATCCAAGGTATTTTCTGATATTTTGTGCTGCATGCATTTTCAGGGTACTGTACATGGAAAGAAAATTAGTGCAGATATACATCTTTGTAATGGTGGAAGTGCAAGTCATGTATCAAATGTATGATCCATGGGCAGAGTGGGGAATACTTTGCATCCAATCTTAACAGATTGCTCACCTTAGGATCTTTTTTGCTGATTTAGTATGTGTTTGCAATTTTGCTCACTTACCTAACAGTAAGATTAGAACTGTATTCTAAAGAACCACAAAATCTCACAACATCATTTCCTGATTATCAAATCAGAACATTGTTCTATTACTGGAAAGTTGAAGATGTTGTTAGCCGCCCAGAGTAGTCAGTTGACTAAATGAGTGGGGTACAAATTCAATAAATAAATAAATAAATAAGATCTTAACACCTATAATCACTTCTCTTCCACTAACATTAATCTGGATAGTAATGTGGATCTGATCAGGAACTCAACTGGAGGTGACTTGTAAGGGTACATGTCCAATTATTTCCTTTTCATGACATTCAGAACAAAGATTCTCCCAGTGCACTTCTTCCAATGCATCCTAGTGAAAGGCTGTTGGTATTTGTTGATAGCACGGCTCAACTTAAATTTAATTAGAAGGAGATCTCACTTCAACTCAACCTTCAAATTCTATATCTGAAGACATGGTCTACAATCTACCAAATCTTTTAGTTTTTAAGGCACAACATGATTCTTTATTGCTTTTCTCAACTAGTGTTCATACCAGTTCTACCTTAGCACTGAAATTGCTCTGTCATAGCATGTACACAGAGAGCAGCAAGTAAAGTGTTCATTTCAACTGCTTAATATTTTGGAAGTTAAACTGCACTGCTACATTAAAAATGCAACACTATTTGCAAAAAATGAATACTATTAGCATGTTAACATTTCTAATTAAGAGTTCATCAAAACATTAACAGAAGATATACATCAATCCTTTTAGAGCAGAAGAAATCAAGTAACCCTACCTTCTTTCAGCAGATCTTATTCTGCAATTAAAAATGGTACATGGCCAGCCTCAAGAAATTGAGGAAAAATGCCTAAAAATAATGAAGGGACTCTGAATAATGTATACTTGCAATTCAATTAAATCATAAGGTATGTTCATAGACTCTGTAACATAGAGTAAGCACCTGAACATTTTATTCAGGCTAAATTCAAACTAAAACAGTTACACTTACAAGTTATACTAAACCTTAATAAACTGTGGTTTCAAAGAAGGTTAACCACAATCCTCAGAAGCCTCCCTATAGAACCGTCTTTTAGATGTCACAGCACTGATTTCACAGGCAAGTGTTTTGAGAACAGATCTTTCTTTCATGCCTTTCACATGATTCAGAAGGTGCAATGAGGAAAGATGATTATTAAAATGAACATTGTCCTTCATTCAGGCAAGAGCTTCTTTGAAAGTATGACTGCGCATGTACTAACCAGCTAAGCCTTTGAGAAGATCAAGAATCATTTCATCCTTATGAAATCCACACTGAAGCATTAAGGAATATATTTCAGTGTGATCCACAAACAAAAGACTACACTTCTCCAGCTCGCAGACCCTGGACACAGGAGACAACACGTATCCGTGATACTGAGTCAGCCACTGAATAAACTCATTCTTACACTCTAGCTCCTCCTGCCTTGCTATTTGAAGTAGCCAGGAACTAAATAAAAACAGTGGCCTGTCCAAACATGTCAATTCACAGTTCTCTCCTTCCACACTGTCTAACATTCCTCCCCTCCATAAAGGACTGCTTGGTAAATCGTTTTGCTGACTCCAGCTATTAACAGCTACCTACAAGTTTATTGTTATCGAAAGCTGTCATCGAAGCTACCAACATGAATTTGACCCAACTCCGGAGGCAGTGGAAGACAGGAGGGCTGACATGCTCTGGTCCATGGGGTCACGAGGAGTCGGCACCACTTAACGACTAAACAACAACAAGAAATTTATTCTATTTTATTTCAATGAATGAAATGGAGTATCGAAGTCCCAATTCTTTATGTCCACAAGGATCACCCAGCAGTGCTTCAATTAATTCTCTGGCAGAGCTCGGTTCCACTCCAATTCTATACAACTCTTGCCTTTTAAATGGCTGAAACCCCAGTCACTTGCCTTTTACTCATTAGCTCCATTCATTCTTAGCTCTCCTCCAACACAATTCTTGCCTAACACCTATAGTTATCTGACCTCCCTCTTTCACAAGAGCGGCCTCTTATTTCTGGTGACAATCCCATACACTTGGCTCCTTTTATGCAGTCAAAACAAGGCTCTTATCTGGACAGCCATCTATCTTAGAAAGGAAACTCACTTTTTTAGAACTGAGTACACCTGGGTTTGTTTGTCCATAGAAGAAAACATAAGTGACACTTCAAACAAGTTCCTTCTGCCACAACCTTTGAATGTCCAACTGCTGTGAAATCACTTCCCTCAGCATTGGAAAACTTGATTTATAACCTTATTAAAGGGGGAAAATACATAAACCAATAAAGAAACACAACACATTTATGAATAGTTTTATTCTAAATATTTGATTATTACTATCATTAAACATACACACACAAGTTACCATTCCAGAAAAACCAGGTTTTAAAACATCAGATGTATAATCTTTTAAGACAGAAAGCCCTGATTGTTTTTTACAGGAAGCTTATGGGCAACAGAACCAACAAACACCTGCAGGGCTTTCCAACCTGGCCGGGGTGGGGATAACAATGAATGATTTTTTTTAAAAAAAATCAATTTTAACCATATTAAATTTAAATCAATGTGGTTTAAATCCAATCCACCCTCCACCTAGCACAGTCCATCTGTCACTCACATGGACTGTAAGAAGAAAACAAAGAGCCATCAACTTTTAAGACAAGCTATTTTTTTGAAGCAGAGGTAGAGAGAACCTGTGGCTTTCTTTCAAAGAGTTGCTGGGCTAAAACCCCTTGTCTTTCCCTAGCCGCAGCTGGGGTTTCCATGTTATGGCCTCAAACCTCACACAAGGCAAAATAAATGTGGAAACTCACTTTTTAGAAAGAGACTTGGCACTGAGATCTGCCAGGACTGCTGACACTTTCCTAGTTCCCCCCGCCCCCGACATAGATATA